ATTATCACAAAAAGTATGACTAGTGTCAACATGATAACTCTGATTGTCCCTAGAAGTCAACCTCCCTAGAAGTCAACCTACTCACGGAGTTACCAAGTCCTCCTGACCATCCAAGTAGGGGTGACTGCAGATTTCAGGAACGCGACTTTAACAACTTTTCGGAGACATGGGCTCCGTGCAGTACGCCGCCAGCACCGTACAATCTGGGCAACGAAGTCTTTCCATGCAACGCCCCTGCCACGTAGAGAAGCTCACAGTTGCCTCTCGGCGTTTTAAGGCCGGCCCTGATCACAATCAGAACTTCGATCAAGAAAATGATCTAGTGAAGGCCATCAATGCTGTGAGCATGCAGTTGCACAAATGCAGCCTTGAAGAGACGTGCGGCCTTTGTTGGAAACAAGACGCGCTACATACAACCTGATAAAAAAAGCAAGAAGAACAGCAAAACTCAAGTCACAGATTCCTGCGCATAGCCTGGAGCACCCAAGCCTCCAACTCCAAAGCCTTCAATCTGACACTCAGCCTAGTGCTTAGAAATCCAGTAACTCAAACTTTTCCAGAGATAGCTGTTTGGTGCATCTTGAGTTTTGGCGCCATCACCCTGAACCCTAAACACTAAACCCAAAGCCCTAAACCTAAACCCTAAAGCCTAAACCCTAACAGGCAAAGCTTCTGCCTGAGGGTCCGGCCGATGCCAAACAAAGCATGCACCCTGGATCTGGCCGATGCAGGAGCCCTGAGGGTTTAGGGTTTAGGGCTTAGTAACTTAGATTTTAGGGCTGAATGTAGGGGCCGGATGACTAAAGGGGGTCGTATTAGAGCTAAATCGGGTCTGAACGGAATAATATAAAGGTTGTCATATTCGAGCTAAATCCGGTCTGAACGGATTAATTAATAACAACATAGGAACGGAATAGTGCATGCTCGCTTCTGAAAATGCCCAAACAGAGAATAAGCAACCGACCCCCTAATCAATTAAGTATCTGCGAAAGAAGAAGAATATCTAAGTTGCAGACAATTATATGCTAAGCCTTAAGGCCTATGGATGTCAAACTTGCTTACATCTTCTTGGC